TTATGCTAATGAAGCCCGGGAAATTCAAATCCCGGGCTTCATTAGCACTGAGGGTATGTCTACACTACCCCGCTAGTTCGAACTAGCGGGGTAGTGTAGACATACCCAAACTCCTTTATAAATAGCTCTCCTGGGGTTGGGGGAGGAGGCAGGCATGGAGCATGAAAATGCAGAGTACATCTCAAAGAAGCTTGGATTCAGATGAGTAACCTTCATTTCTTTGAGTGTCACTTCTCCATATTCCTACTCATGGGATAGATTGATAAGCAGTACTCCCAAGCAGGATTTGGTGAAAATGCAAAGTTTACCAAATTTTGTATCAGATTCAGATTCTAAACTTAAAAAACAGTGTTACATACATGGATAGAAGTCCACATTACCACTCTACATATTTCTACTAAAGGAATACAAGTAGAAAAAGCCATATATACTCTCCTGGCAGAATGTGTCCTAATTTCTCAACTAAGGACAGCCTTTTTGATTCAAAGGTAATTTTAATACAATCGAACCCATCTAGAGAGCATTTGTATAGAAACAGCTTTTCCCTTAGGGTATATGTCTACACTACAGCGTTATTTCAAAATATCTTATTTCAAAATAATGCATCTAGACACAAAATGCATTTTGAAATAGTGTTTTGCTATTTCGAGATAGTGTGTCCACACTGACAGGGTGCTGAATCGCATTTAAGGCTGGCCGGAACTGGTTCTGGCAGGGCATCTGGTCAGGAGTTAGCCTCAGACAGCAGCCATACAAGGTATCTGAGACTTGTGCTTAAAGGGACCACTCCGGACAGCCAGTTCTAAGGTTTCCCTGCTTGCTTGCCTACCTTGCTGAGGGACAACAAAGCATTTTTTTCTCTGTGTGCTCTGGTTGCCCTCACTCAGGACACCAGAGCACTCTGCATCATGGAGCCCGAGCCCCCCTGTGCACTCTGGTGTTTCTCCTGGACGTTTTGCTGTGAGCCTGGCAGCAGGTTCTGCAGGCAGTAACAGATTTCCTGGTGTGCCATGGGGGCTTGTGCCTCATTCCTCCCTCACGTCCTTCCACCCCTCCCTAGCCCCCCTTCCTGCTGTACAATAAAAGACACATGTTCATTACAACAAAGCCTCTATATTGAACAAAACTGCGGGGGGGAGATGAAACTGAGGTGAGACTGGGAAAAGAATGTGGGAGAGGGTCAGAGGGAGGGTGGGAGAGGGGAGGGGGAAACCTGGGAGGAGGGAGCTGGCAGGGGGAGGCAAGGGGAGGAAGGGGGAGGAGATGCTCAGGGCTCAGGGTTGGGGGTCTCGCTGGCCCAATTGTCTCCCAGCACCGTGAGTGCGGGGGACTCAGCATCCCTGGGGGTGTGGGGAGGAAGAAGCGGGAGGGGGAGAAGGAGTGGGAGGGGGAGGCAGCAGGGGCTGGAACAGCAGGAGGCAGCAAGCTCTGCCCCAGGGTCGATGACTACATGAGGGGCACAGACCATCCTACCCCCCAGAAAGTGGTCCATGGCATGAAAATAGGGGCAGGGGTCTGGGTCTGCCCCTGATTGGAAGCTGATCCCATGGCCCTGGCATACACCTGCCGCAGCTCCTTTAATTTCATGCGAACCTGCTCCTGGGTTTGCATGAGGCCTTTGGTGGCCAGGCTGGCAGCCATCCACCTAAGAATGGTTGCGTTCCTCTGTTTAGTGTGGAGATCATGGACGTTGGAAGCATCCCCCCCCAAACCTGAATTAGGTCCCTGATCTCCGCACTGGACCAGGCAGGCACCCGCCTTTTCCGGCCCATGGCAGGCTCCTGGGAGCTGGCAAACTG